AAAGACAATATTATAGGCTCAGAAAACACATCAGTATTTGCTGACACCTGGGAAATGGAAGGGGTGGGGATATTGACAGCAAAAGAACAAAAGCAAATTTAGAAATTGCAAGAAAAAAATGATACTGTCAAACACATATATGTTTGTTTTAGTAACCTGAGGTGCTAGATTATAAGAAGCAAGCAAACCACTAGTGCTCACATGTCAAAACTGAGTATTTGTTACTGTTAGATTTTAATTTACTACACATTTTATCAACTATTTTGTGTCAATATGTTTGTAGCCAGTATTATTGAAGTATAACTCACATACTGTTAAACTTACACTTTGTAATGTATAGTTCTGTAAGTCTTAATAAATTCATACAGTTTTGTAAATAGTGTTACCGTCAACATATAGAACAATTTCATGACCCTCCAAAATTTGCTTTTCTTCTTTTGTTGTCAATATCCCCACCCCTTCCATTTTCCAGGTGTCAGCAAATACTGATGTGTTTTCTGAGCCTATAATATTGTCTTTTTCAGAAGGCCACGTATATTGAACAATACAGTATATAAGCTTTTGAATTTGCTTTTTTCACTTACCATAATGATTTGAAATTCATTCATGATGTTTGTGTCAATACTACTTCTCACAACTGACTAGTATTCCATCGTATGGAAGAACTAGCATTCTACTGGTTGTAGGACATTTTGATTATTTTTGGGTTTGGTGAATGTGAATAGAAAAGATATAAACCTTCATCTACAGAACTTTCTGTGGACGAGAAAGTTTATTTTTCCTGTATGAATACCTGGGACTGAGATTTCTTGATTGTACTGTAAATATATGTTTAATAAATTTTCAGAACATTTTTTAAAGCAAATGTATGGTTTTGTTTTCCCACTACCAATGTATGAACTGTGTATAATTGTCAACACTTAGTATTGCCAATTTTATTTTTAATTTTAGTTTTGCCATTCTAATATCTGTATAGTGGAATCTTACTGAGGATCATGTTTGCATTTCTCTAATAACTAATGATCTTGAGCATATATTCATTTTTTTGCCATTTATGTATCTTCTTTGGCAAATGTTTGAAATATTTTGCTGTTGTTTATTTAGTTGATGTCTTAAAGTTTTGTTCGTTCTTTAAGTATCATGGATATAATTCTGTGTTCAAATATGCATTTTGAAAATATTGTGTTCCAGTCTATGGCTTTACTTTTTATTCTCTTATGCCTTTATAAAAGGAGATGCTTTTAGTTTAGATAATATGCAATTTATTTATTTAATTTAAGTTTACATTTAAGTATATGTTCTACTTTGTGTTAGGTTACATACATGATGTGAGGTTTGGGTTGAGGTATACGTGTGTGAGTTTGTGTGTGTGTGTGTGTGTGTGTGTGTGTGTATAAATAAATAAATATGAGTGTCTCATATTCCAATACTGTGTGTTGGAGATAGCTTTTTCTCCATTGAATTAACTTTGCACTTTGTCAAAAATGATTCACCATATGCATATGAGCTTATTTCTGCACTCTCTATTCTGTTATATTGATTTATATTGCTGCTTTCACTTATCCAACACTGTCTTGATTATTATAGCTTTAGAGTTAGTATTGAAATTATGAAGAGTTAATCCTTCAAGTTTATACTTTTTCAAAATTGTAGTTTCTTTGCCTTTCCAAATAAATTTTAAATTTCATGTGAATTTCTCGCAAAAAAAGTCCTGTTGTGATTTAGTTGAGATTGCATCATATTTTCAGATCAATTTAGGGAGAAATAGCATAATAACATTTCATTATAAATGGAAATAACTCCATTTACTTAGATGTTCTCTGATATCTTTCATTAGTGTTATAATTTTCAGCATTCTGACTCTGTACATATTTTTTAGATTTATGCTTAGTAGATTAATTATTTTTGATATTATAAATGGTACTTTTTAAATTGGCTTTGCTGTTATATAAAAATGGAGTTAAATATTTCTATTAACTTTGTGTCATGTGATTTTGCTAAACTCAATTATGAGTTATAATGGCTTTGTGGATTTTGTGGAAATTTCTACATAGCTAATTGTCATCTGTGAATAGTGAAATTTTCTTCTTTCTTTCCAAACATTATAAATTTTATTCCCTCCATTATGATGCCTGTACTATAGATAGGTTTGAAATTATTTCTTTTAAGGTGTATTTTTCTGATAAAGTCTTTATTTTTCCTTTGTTCTTGATATTTTCTCTGGGCATACTATTTTCAAGACAATGAGATGAATTGAATAAAGAAAGGTGAATGCTATATGGTTCGCGTTGAAATATTTCAGTTGAACCACTTGCGTAAACACACAGACTGTTGATTCTGTTTCTCTGACTATTCCTAACTAGAATCCACCTGAATATTACTATCAGGATATAGTGCTGATCTGAATGATTTTATATATATATATATATATATATATATATTTATGTTATTTTCTTGTTTTCCCCTCTTCTTTCATAGCAAAAATTCTCCAAAGAAAATAAGTCTTTTTGACAATTAAAACAATAAACTTTACACGTCATCGAAATATTAGAAAATATGTCTGCATAAATGAATAATTTAAAAATATATTTTCAATGAAATGGAGATAAACATGCTAACATCTTGGCATGTGTACTTCTAGAATTTTTTTTCTTTGTTTTTTAGATGGAGTTTCACTCTTGTTGCTTAGGCTGGAGTGCAGTGGCGCTATTTCAGCTCACTGCAACCTCCGTCTATCCGATGGAAGCGATTCTTCTGCCTCAGCCTTCCAAGTAGATGGGATTACAGGTATGCACCACCATGCCCTGCTAATTTTGTATTTTTTTATTTAATACTTTATTGTGTTTTAGGTTTGGGGGTACATGTGAAGAACATGCAGGATTGTTGCATAGGTACATACATGGCAATGTGGTTTGCTGCCTTCCTCCCCATCACCTATATCTGGCATTTCACCCTAGGTTATCCTTCCCCAACTCCCCACCCCTTACTGTCCCTCCCCTAGTTCCCCCCCACAGACCTCAGTGTGTGATGCTGCCCTACCTGTGTCCATGTGTTCTCGTTGTTCAACAGCTGCCTATGAATGAGAACATGCGCCGTTCGATTTTCTGTTCTTGTGTCAGTTTGCTGAGAATGCTGGTTAGAGATGGGGTTTCATCATGTTGGTCAAGCTGTCTTGGACACTGACCGCAGGTGATCCATCTGCCTTGGCCTCCCAAAGTGTTGGGATTACAAGTTGTGAGCCACTGCACCTGGCACTTATAGAACCTTATCTGTGAGTAATTACCCATACCTCCCCATAAAAGACAAATTTTAATATGCATTAGGTCACATAAAATATTTTTCATAATCTATTTATTTCACATAACAATATATAATGAACATCTTCTTCTGACACTAAAATATCTATATCAGCATTTAAATATGCAGAAGTATTTTTTACTTTTCAAGTCCTTGGTACTAAATAACTACTACTCACTCAGTTTCCCTTTCATAGCTTACAGAGAAAAGACTGTAGCAAATCATACCTTTCAGTAGGTACAGAACATAGAGAAATATTTTTGAATTTCATAATTATACTAAGATATAAATTACAAATCTTGGACATTGATAGACATCTACTCATATTAATTTGGCCAGTGTACTTATATAAGCAAAATAAGATAATATCTGGGAACACATTTCAAGCAAATTTCTACTTTATCAATAAATCGAAAATGTGATCACCATTCATTTGAAGTGAAGTACCACCACTTCAAACCATGCAAAGGAATGATTGTAAACTTATGATATTTAACTGTGACTTTAGTCAAATATGTTATATTTGGTTTTAAAATTTGGATAATGGTCTGTTCTTTAACATGCTAATCTGTCACCAGTCCATAGAAAACCTTTGTAAAATCTAGGAAAAGATGTCCTTTCTGGATGGATAAAGCCCTGAAATATGCCTGACTTGACAAGGTGACACTCCCTCCTCCGTATGGGGCAGGTACTGCCCCATGCCAACCCCAGTTTAGTAAATGTAACTCAGGCTGAATTTCTGCTCCTGTTCTCCTGTCAAAACTGTATGTGGTACCCTGACCAGCTGCAAATACTAATGAGAGATTCAAAGTAAAATTAGTATTCCTTACTATACTGTCTTACCAAATTCAAAAATGTAACTCTCTGCTAAGAAACATTATTTCAGTATTTCATATGCAGATATTTAGGTTGATTCTCCAACAAACGTGTCAAATTTTTCAGTCTGTCTCTGCACTTTAAGGAGATAATCTCCAGGGTGCAAGCTGTCACAGGCTGAGTCACTAATGTATTTTGACTTTATACTAGAAGAAACCGTTTCACATCTGGTATTAAAAAGTGTTTGTGTTTCTTGCTTCTTGTGACAGTTCTTGGCAGAGTTTGTTAAATCATAATGTTTATTTAAACATGTTTTAAAAGATGTGCCCAAATTGTTTTTATGTCCTTGTAGTTTAATCATAACATTATGTGCCACTGAAGACCAGAAGATACATGATTTATACAAATTATCCACAAATTGCTGGTTGGGTGTGATGGCTCACACCTGTAATCCCAGCACTCGGATGGGCCAAGACAGGAGGATTACTTGAGGCCAGGAGTTCAAGACTGGCTTGGGCAATATAGTGAAATCATATCTCTACAAAAAAAGAAAGAAAGAAAGAAAGAAAGAAAACTAGCCAGATGTAGTGGTGCATGCCTGTGGTCCAAGCTACTTGGGAGGTTGAGGTGGGAAGAGGTTGAGGCTGCAGTGAGCCATGATTCTGTCACTGCACTCCAGCCTAGGTAACAGAGTGAGACTCTGTATCAAAAATAAATAAATAAATACATACATTATTGCTACTTGAATATAAATCCTTTAATATCTGATGTACAATGAGGCTTGTATTTTTGGAACTCTCAATAAAATCATACCTAAAAATGATAGAAAATTTCTATTCATGAATAATTTTTAATTTAGACCAATGTTTGTCTGAATCAAAGCAGAGCTCTCCCTTCTGTGCTTTTGTAAAATTTTGACCATCCATGTATGTATAAAGTTATCTTTTTATGCTGTAACAAGTTACTATAAACTTAGTAGCTTAAAACAACAGAAATTTATTATTTGACATTTATGGAAATCAAAAGCCTGAAATGGGTCTCATTAGGCTACAATAAAGGTGTTGTTAGGTCTGTGTTTCTTTCTGGAGTCTCTAGGAAAGAAATCTGTTTCCTTGCCTTTTTCAGCTCTTAGAGGCTGCCTGCATTCTTTTGCTAAATCCTCACAATGATCGCCCCCTCTCTGCGGGAGAGTTTAGATTGTATTACAGTTTTGAGGAGGCAGTATTGCACTTCTACTTCCCTGCTTATGTTCTTTCTGATCCTGTCGAGGGAACAAAAGATCAGAGATTGAAATGTGAGCTCTATTAGTGAGAAAGTCTAGGTTGAAGAATGTGACAAAGACGAACTCCCTAATACTTAAGACCAGACTTAGGCAAAGTTTCCCACTCAGCCCCAAGTGGTGCTGGAAATCGCACATGGAAATCTGCCCTTACAGTACTCTTAACCTGCAGGAGTGTATTAGAACACTTACTCTTACTCTCATGTCAGGCTGATTCCCAAGAAACATCAGGACTGGAGTCTACACTATTTGGCAGTTCCCCTCTAGATTTATCAGCAGGTAACTTTGCCCCTGTGGAAAGAAGTAAGAGGAGAGCCAGTAAAAACCACTCCTCATGGAAACCACAGCAGTGAGTTTCAAACATTCCTCTCTGCTGTCCAGCAGACTAGTCATTTCAATAAACATCCAAATCAGCCAATTCATTAAAAATACCAAAACCAGCTGTGGATTAAGACAGACAAAACATTTACCTTTAAATAAAATACAAATTTTTAGAAATGTATTAAAGTCAGTTGTAAAACCTGGTAACATTATATGTAGTTTAACTGTCTCAAAGTAAAAATTTCTCCTCATGGAAACCATAGCACTGAGTTGGAAACATCTCAAATTATGTTAGGAAATAGATGCAACATATACCAGTAAATTGAATTGTAGGAAGTAATTCTCCAAATAATCGAATCCACCGTTTCTTCACATTTAAATTTCAAACTATTTATTTTGATACAAGCTGCCTTACGTATTTTAGAATAAATAAAATCTTGTTTTAAATTACGCAAATGCTTAAGAGAACAATAATTATCTGACTATAAATATGTTAAAAATATCATTTTTCTTTATACTAAGATCTATAAATTGCAAAGTATGTTTCCATGGGAACATATTATCTATGGTTAACGTGAGTTTTAGAGAGGCTTTTTACTTTAGAACTTTCTTTAGAATTATGTGCTCTTCGAGATCAGGGATGGAACTGGGCTAACCATTATAAAATATATCACCATGCATTCCTTGGGAGCGCTGCAAAAGTTTGTTGAGGTAAAAAAGATAAGCAGGAAATTATTTCCACTTGGTTGGAGCCAGACTTCCTAAGTTCAAATCCCCTTACTACAATGTGCTAATATTGCATGACTTTAGGCCAGTTACTTAATATTTCTGTGCCTCATTCTCTTCAAGATGTAGAAGGATTATAATAACAGAACCTTCCATAGGTTTGTTGTAAAAGTTAAGTTTAATGTGTAAAACCCATAGAATAGCAGCTGGCAAATTGTAGGCTATTATAATAAGTGTTCATAGTAAAAGAAATGGAGACTCAGAGACTTGTCTCATGTCACAGGATTAGAAAAATCCAGGACTTCAGCCCAGTATTCTGATTAATTCTGGCTCAGTATTTAATACGCCAAAATTATCTTTGTGATATATATTCATGGGACTTAAACATTCCAATTTTAGAGCTAGATGTTTGGATATGGTTGAAGATGTTCCTATAGTGAAATTCTTACGATATCCGGTGTTGTGGGGTTATCCATTTTTTAAAATACAAATGCATAATTTGACTTCTGATGCCTTGATTTTCTCAGGATTCCCACAGGATTCCACTGGGATTCTTATCTGTTTTTCAGGTTGCAATGTGGCCCCTCTTCTGCCTTCACTTTATCACTATTGCTAATTTTTCTTGTGCATCTGCATCCTGATATTTTCCATTGCATGATTTGTTTCAAATTTGTACAAAAATCTTCCCTTAATTCTCCAATAAACCTAATAAAAGATTGTGATGGGATGTAATCTTTTCTTAAATTTTTGAGTATATTTCAGAAGAATTTTAGCATGGAACAGGTAATAATTTAAAATTTAATATAAGACTTTTTTTGTTGGCCCCGGACTACTCTCTCCTTACAGAAAACTTGTTCCCATCTTTTCTCTCCCTGCTGTGCCAGGAAGCTCAACATTCTGGTTTCTTTTGCTTGCCAAACAGAGAGCAAAATTAGCTCACCTCAGAACTACCACTTTTCATTATACATCATTAAAGAAAATAATTATTAATGTCATAAATTAAATTTGTGTGCTGGGCCCGGTGGCTCACGCCTGTAATCCCAGAACTTTGGGAGGCCAAGGCGGGTGGATCACGAGGTCAAGAGATCGAGACCATCCTGGTCAACATGGTGAAACCCCATCTCTACTAAAAAAAATACAAAAAATCAGCTGGGCATGGTGGCACGTGCCTGTAACCCCAGCTACTCAGGAGGCTGAGGCAGGAGAATTGCCTGAACCCAGGAGGCGGAGGTTGCGGTGAGCCGAGATCGCGCCATTGCACACCAGCCTGGGTAACGAGAGCGAAACTCCGTCTCAAATAAATAAATAAATAAATTAATTAATTAAATTTGTTCTTGAAACCTTAAGCATAATCATGATAGATGATCTTTTCCCTATTGAAAATTAACTTTAAAGTATATTTTTTTATTGAATATAGATTTTTATGGTTATTGATCATTTATCTATATAGTTACAGAGTAATATGAAGCAATTTTAATATGAGACAGTCAAACCGTGGTATTGTAGTATGGCAACCAGACTGAAGAAAACTAAGATTTATCAAATGGTTTTTTACAAGGGTGAAATATGTTTTAATCTGAAAGAAATGTTTATGTACAGAAAAGACTATGTAGAGTCTAGTTAAGCTACCATTGTTTTTAACAGATCATAAAAATTTAAATTCAACTAAAAAAATCATTAGTCTATTTATGTTACTTATAACAGTAATTACATCCCTTCATACATTTTAAATTGTAGTTTCAAATATAATGTATTCAATTTTATTTTTAAATACACAAAAGGAAAACTTTTCCAAGATTTAAAGAAATCTTGTAAATCTAATAATAAAAAATTAAGTGTAGTAAGTCTTAAGTTCATTTAAACATTTTCAACAGTCATTAAAACATTGTCAGTTTGCTGTGATGCCAAGTTGCTGTCACAACTTAAAGTCATTTACTTAACTAGACATTTTAAAATTGAAATCTTAAATCTGATCTTTCAAAATCTCTGCAGTGATAATATTTATGAAACACTGTGGGCCTTTCAATGCCAAATAGCTGCAGGTTGTTCTAGTGATAAAACCATATCCCTTACTTTATCATGAAATAATTAAATCAATGAGTTTATTTGCTTTTATTATCTTTTTAATTAGTTATAAATCTTTCCAGGGTCGAAAGACAAGTTCAGGAAATAATTTTTGTTATTTGAAAACAGTTGTATGTCAGAACTGAAGGCTGGAATGTTGAACCTGAGAGTAATTTATATTCAGGGTAACTTGACTTGCTTTAGAGATAAACTGTGCTATCTACCAAGTAAGTGTGAATGTGAGACTTTAAGTTAAAACTATATTTACAAAATATATGAAATACACTATGGTGTACATATGTATTATCTGGTATAAACTTACAGATTCAAGTTGTACTTTTATTCAATAATTTTCCTTCCATGGGTTGTAGAATTTTCACACCCTTCTTGTCCCCAGTGTGTGCACATACACACACACACACTGCAGCTAACTTGCTTCTCTAATCTTATTATAATTGAATTGTATATTAATAGAATATTTGTGTCTAGCCAAACAAAAATTCACATAGCTATTTTTATGCAATCTGAAAGATTCTGCCTATTTCAGGTCTTTTTCTGGCTGTGCAGGTCTCACGCCACTAAAGTCAGGTTGATGGAACATTTATGTACATAATGTGTTCCTTACATTAAATGATTTAAACTTTCTAAATTCAGTGAGGCATTCTGTCTTCAAAAATTAGGAGAGTGCCTCAGAAAATCTAAATAACTTATACTAAGTCATAAAGCTGTTGAGCGGCAAGCTCAAGTTGATCCCATATCACAGTCAAGTTTCTATTCACTACAATATGGGGCTTAATTTTTTAAATAACCATCATTACAATATTTATTGAAATTCTATAGAGCAGGCATAGATTTCAGGGAAGACCTGAGGGATTCATAGTCTGGTGGGAAGTCTTGTGGATAAACTGGGAGTTATTATACAATAGTATCTATGAGAGCAGAAAGACTGTGGTTAAATGAAAGAGCTGTGCAATTCATGTTAGTGTGGGTAAATTTAGAGAACTGCGTAGAGCAAATACATCGTAATAAAATTTAGGAATATCTGACTCTGAAGACCCACAGTTAGGTCTATTTGTAGTGTGACTTGGGGCAAGTCACTTAACCATTCTTGCATTTTTATTCTAAATATGACTGATGCAAAGAATACATTAAATATGCTTTTCCATGTGTTGGAAAATTACTTAAAATTATTTCAATGAAGTTCACAAATTCTTTCTTATTCAATATATATATTCGCTTTTGTGTATAGTTTAGTAAAGCAATTGTTATTAATTTACACATTGAAAATAATTTTGTCAATACTAGTTTTCTTATAATGATAAGTTTTCTTATAATGACAGGTTTTCTTAAAATGACAGGAATCCTACACTGTCATTATTATTGAGAAATTATTGAGCAAGGCCAATCTAAATTACTAAGAAGTTAAAAAATAAAATATGTAAGTCAAGCTTAATATTGCTCTCAAATATAGAATACTTAAAACTTTGAAAAATATAGTGTTTATTCTAGGAC